AGTGGCGACGAAGGTTATATTCTTTCAGCACTGCAACATGCTCTGAACACACCAAACATACAGCTTTCCCATTCAATTCCGTGAATAAATAGGATGACCATTTTTCTTGGAACACTCTACACTCTGCGTCCACTTTTCTCTTTTTTGACAGAGACATATTGGGGCAATGAGGGTGCCAAAGCACATAATGTTAAAAGTAGAAGCCGTAATAAATATCGCGGGCAAAACAAAGTAGCTCATTGGCTGCACGTGCTTGACCTACTTGCTCTGCCCCGGTATAAACAGTTTGCTTGCTTAACACAATTGCTATTGCGCTATCCAGTGGACGCAATTGGAACAGCAGTTTATTTTATTGAAAAATCATCTCGCGGGCCGGAATAAACCCGTTTGCGGGCCTGATCCGGCCCGCGGGCCGTACGTTTGACACCCCTGGCCTACACCCTTTGACATTTCACAGGTCTAGGACAGCTCTAGGCTTGACCTCTCTTCCTGACCTTGTGTGATATGAAGCTGAGTATGCTTCTGTGTCAGTCAACAGTTATTGTGGTGTTGCAGGTAAGTATGGTGTATGTTGTGTTGTGTGTGTGTGTGTTTAGTCCATCCCGTTCTCTTTCAGGGGAACAGTTCATCTCGTCAGTGTGTTGTTCTTTTGTGTTCAGTAGGTGACGACGATTGCGCTCCTTCTGCGGTGCGAACGTGATATGAACGTTCAGTGTCAGCTGGTTGGATGACGACTGCTGGCTTCCAGTAGCCATGCTCCTGGATTCTAACTGACTCTCCGTCGTTCAGTGGTGGCAGTGGTCTAGCTGACCTGTCGTAGTATCGCTTTTGGTGTTGTTGTCTCTGTGCATGTTTTGCATGCATTTCCTTGTAGCTGACGACCTCAGGTTGCAGCTGTTGGTTGGTGCTGGGAAGGAACGAGCGAAGTCTGCAGCTCATCAACAGCTGGGCTGGTGATGTGGAGTTGTCAACTGGAGTGTTTTCCACCACCATCAACAAAATACCAAATTATGGAATTTCTTGTGGAACAATGGTGTTGCATCCCTCCAATAGAGTTTCAGACACTTGTAGAATCTATGCCAAGGTGAATTGAAGCTGTTCTGGCTCATGGTGGCCCAAAGCGATATTAAGACACTTTATGTTGGTGTTTCCTTTATTTTGGCAGTTACAGTGAGCTCCAAAAGTATTGGGACAGTGTAACATATATGCCGGGAGTCAGGAAGCAGAAGGTGAGTTTAATGATGAACCGATACAGCTGAACAAACGTGAGCCGCATACTGAACGTGAGAGAAAACAATACTACCTAATGACTGACACTACTGAGGGCTAAATAAAGGGAGAGTAATCAGGGTGATGATGAAGTCCAGGTGTGCATAACGATGGGGAGCAGGTGTGCACAATGATGGTTGCCAGGTGTGCGTAATGTGGGTTGCCAAGCCTGGTGGTTAGTAGACAGGTGATGTCGAGCGCCGGAGAGAGGGAGCAGGAGTAGGCGTGACAGACAGTGACATTTCCTTTTGTTTTTTTGGCTCTGTACTCCAGCACTTTGGATTTAAAATGATACAATGACTATGAGGTTAAAGTGCAGACAGACAGCTTTAATTTGAGAGTATTTTCATCCTTAACAGATTAACTGTTTCGAAATTACAGCACTTTTTGTACATAGTCCCACCATTTTAGGGGACCAAAAGTATTGGGTACAAATTCACTTGTATTAAAGTAGTAAAAAGTTTCGTATTTGGTCCCATATTCATAGCACGCAATGATTACATCAAGCTTCTACAAACTTGTTGGATGCATTTGCTGATTGTTTTGGGTTGTTTCAGATTATTTTTGTGCCAAATAGAAATGAATGGTAAATAATGTATTGTGTCATTTTGGATATAACATAAGAATAGAATGTTTCTAAACACTGCTACATTAATGTGGATGCTACCATGATTACGGATAGTCCTGAATGAATTGTGAATAATGATCAGTGTCTCCTGAAGTCCAAAATCAGCTCCTTCGTTTTGTTGACATTGAGGGAGAGGTTATTTTCCTGCCACCACTCCAGTAAGCAAGTTTAAGCGGTCCGGTTCAAAGAGTCGTCATCTGAATTCAGTCTATGAAAATCCTGTTTTCTACAGTGTGTGTAGTTTGGGAGTGTATGTGAATGGTTGTCATCGTGAGCAGGATTAGTGTCTGGCAGTGGATGAGGGAGATTACCCTTGTACCGTCATTACAGGACTCTCCAATGTGTTTTAAAGTTAAATGGCTTTTCCAATTAATTCACGAAGCCCTAATGATGTTAAAGAGTTATTGGATTACACTACGACATGTCCTAATGTACCTTCCCCCTCATTCTCTCCCATGTATCCTGACCTATTCCTCACAACTGGAACGTATGAGTGTATTACAGTATTCCTTTTAATAATAATAATATGCCATTTAGCAGACGCTTTTATCCAAAGCGACTTACAGTCATGCGTGCATACATTATTATTTTTTTTGTGTATGGGTGATCCCGGGGATCGAACCCACTACCTTGGCGTTACAAGCGCCGTGCTCTACCAGCTGAGCTACAGAGGACCACTTTTCATGGCTCACTCTGAAAGGTTTGCCTGGGGTTATAAAGTGAAAAGCGTCAGAGGGATTTGAAAAGTATGAAATATTTAATTCATTTAATGGCGTAGTTGTACATATGCAATATTCTTTATGGTACAAGACAAGTGATAAACATTGGATACATTAGTCTTCTTAAGCATGGACCATACCTATTATTTTAGCATTGTCATACTATACCATATCTACACATCAAATCTTCAACAGTGTCAAGAGCACTCAAATAAAGTGTGCACTTCTCAGGTGTGCACTCAAAGTGCTGTGGTTCTCATGCAGTGACAGGCAGGCCTGAGAAGTACACTTAAAAATACAATTGTCCAATGGATTATTCGCATACAGTAAATCAGTAAAAGGACGAAGAGCGGTAAAAGTTACATTGATCTAAAAATGTAGACTTGCTCCTGTTAAACTGTGTGTGTATGTGTATGTGTGTGTTTATAATAGTCTCCAGGTGGCAGCAGAATTGGTTTGGCTCCATTTCACAGATTAAGTTAGTTCCTGTCTCCCCTACAAACACTAGACTCACATAGAAAACTACTTCTGTATGAAAAGAGATCAATTAAGTCTCTTCCTCACAGTGTTGAACATAAACAGCTAGTATACACTACCGGTCAAAAGATTTAGAACACCAAGGGTTTTTCTTTATTTTTACTATTTTCTACATTGTAGAATAATAGTGAAGACATCAAAACTATGAAATAACACATATGGAATCATGTAGTAACCAAAAAAGTGTTAAACAAATCAAAATATATGTTATATTTGAGATTCTTCAAATAGCCACCCTTTGCCTTGATGACAGCTTTGTACACTTGGCATTCTCTCAACCAGCTTCATGAGGTAGTCACCTGGAATGAATTTCAATTAACAGGTGTGCCTTGAATTTCTTTCCTTCTTAATACGTTTGAGCCAATCAGTTGTGTTGGGACATGGTAGCGGGGGTATACAGAAGATAGCCCTATCTGGTAAATGACCAAGTCAATATTATGGCAAGAACAGCTCAAATAAGCAAAGAGAAACGACAGTCCATCATTACTTTAAGACATGAAGGTCAGTCAATACGGAACATTTCAAGAACTTTGAAAGTTTCTTCAAGTGCAGTCGCAAAAAACATCAAGTGCTATTATGAAACTGACTCTCATGAGGACCACCACAGGAATGGAAGAGCCAGAGTTACCTCTGCTGCATAGGATAAGTTCATTAGAGTTACCAGCCTCAGAAATTGCAGCCCAAATAAATGCTTCACAGAGTTCAAGTAACACACATATCTCAACATCAACTGTTCAGAGGAGACAGTGTGAATCAGGCTTTCATGGTCGAATTGCTGCAAAGAAACCACTACTAAAGGACACCAATAATAAGAAGAGACTTGCTTGGGCCAAGAAACACGAGCAAAGGACATTAGACAGGTGGAAATTTGTCCTTTGGTCTGGAGTCCAAATTGGAGATCTCTGGTTCTAACCGCCTTGTCTTTGTGAGACGCGGTGTGGGTGAACGGATGATCTCCGCATGTGTATTTCCCACCGTAAAGAATGGAGGAGGTGTTATGGTGTGGGGGTGCTTTGCTGGTGACACTGTCTGTGATTTATTTAGAATTCAAGGCACACTTAACCAGCATGGCTACCACAGCATTCTGCAGCGATACGCCATCCCATCTGGTTTGGGCTTAGTGGGACTATCATTTGATTTTCAACAGGACAATGACCCAACACACCTCTAGGCTGTGTATGGGCTATTTTACCAAGAAGGAGAGTGATGGAGTGCTGCATCAGATGACCTGGCCTCCACAATCCCCCGACCTCAACCAAATTGAGATGGTTTGGGATGAGTCGGACCGCAGAGTGAAGGAAAAGCAGCCAACAAGTGCTCAGCATATGTGGGAACTCCTCCAAGACTGTTGGAAAAGCATTCCAGGTGAAGCTGGTTGAGAGAATACCAAGAGTATGCAAAGCTGTCATCAAAGCAAAGGGTGGCTACTTTGAAGAATCTCAAATATAAAATATATTTTAATTTGTTTAACACTTCTTTGGTTACTACATGATTCCATGTGTTATTTTATAGTTTTGATGTTTTCACTATTATTCCACAATGTAGAAAATAGTAAAAATAAAGAAAAACCCTTAAATGAGTAGGTGTTCTAAAACTTTTGACCGGTAGTGTAAGTACAAAAACACACACAGAGTATCTCCTGTGGTGAACTCTGTGAATGGTTTAGTTGGCCTACTGCCCCTCGGAGTAGGATAAAGTTACCATTAGACACTGATCTAAGGTCCGTTTGGGATCCACCTTAATGGTTAAGGTCAGCATTTGGGAAGGGTAGGATCTGATCTCCCTCTTCTCTCTGCACGTGCTCAGACGGCCTTGCCCATGATGAGGAGGCTCATGAGGAAGACCATGATGAAGAAGAGCCACATGAAGAGTCGGTCCATGACCTTGGCCACCTTCCTCCACTCACCCGTACGTCTCTGGGTGGAGCGCTGGTCATGATAGCAGCTGGCGATGTACTCGATGTTCCTGCGGAGCGCCTGGTGCTGACACACACACTGGGCCCTCACCACCACCTCCCTCCTACCCCTAGCCTCTGCACCTCCTATTGATCCTTTTCTTCGTTCTCCACCTCCTCCCACACAGCCTCTCTCTCCTCCTCCTCCTGCTTCCTCCACCTCCTCTTCAGCATCTATACTTACAAAAAGGTCGTCTTTCCACCTACTGGGCTCAAACATTTGGTATGATCCTTTTTTCACATCCAGTCTATTCCCCTCCTCTTTCTCTTCCTGTGTCTTTACGCCCACCCCTCCCCCTTCGTCTCCATGCCTCTCTCCCATGCCTCGCCAGGCTTGCCCGTTCACATCCCAGTTGGTACCTCTAGTTTGGGGGTTGCTATTGTGGTCAGGTGGGTGCTCAGGCTCGGGCGGGGCCTGTTTCTTGGGTGTGCCGGTGAAGCAGTTCTCTCCCACCTCGTAGACGAAGCAGATCCGTGCCAGGTAGTGCAGGATGAAGCGGCGGGCCCATTCAGGGACAGGACGCGCCTCCGGACCACAGTGATGGATATTCATGATGAAGATAGTCAGGGCGGTCGATGCGGTGATCATCGTCATGGTGGCAATGTAGTACTTCCCTGTGGAGAAGTAGTGATCAGCAATACAGTCTATTTAATGTATAACGACTCAAACATAATCATTCAATGTAATAGTGTACATTGGCTTACATAACATCACTGCCTTGCAGGATTCTAGACAGTGTTAAATAGCCAGACAAGCATAATTGCTCCAGAGTGAGTAGGCAGGGTATAGGTTATCAAGCTGTGACTGCAGCACATTAAATTAGCTGGACAGCCAATATCGACTTGCCTGTCCTCTGTACCATTGAATCAACATTATCCCACAAACACCAACACAATTTAGTACAGCAGCTCTCTAAGCCAAGCACACACAAATACTACAACTCAACTCATTCCTGAATTGAAACACAACTGCAAAAATGCCTACACTCTTGTTTTACGCTGCATGCATTTCAAAGTTGATTCAAATTTAATAAGCGCTCTTTGCTCATCCCAATACTATCACAATAAAATATGGAATAATATATTGAATAAACATACAAAATATGCTTCTTCAGTATTCATAAGGTCTCCCTACTCTGTATCACATCTCATCTATAGCCAGGCAGTTAAATGGCGCAGCAGAGAGAGGCTGTATGAGGATGTTGTACTGAGCAAGACCCATTCAATATTTACTAAACATTTCTGCCTGAGTTTATTGGAGGAGAAGATCTATAAAAGTCTGAGGCGAGCTGGTCAGTCTCTGTTAGTGTTGGAGAAGGAGCTAAAATGACCACAAAAGCCCAGAGAAGAGCATATTTCTAATGTGTCTCTTTCTCTCTGATTGCTGTACTCATGGCAAGCAGTTTCTCTCTCCCTTTCTTGTTCTCTTGTTCTCCCTCCCTCCTCCATCACTCTCTCTCTCTCCCCCTCTCTCTCTCTAACACCCCCAAGCCACTCACCTATGAGTGGTACGTTCTCCGAGGGTGGCATGCTCTCTGCCACCAGCAGCTGAAACACAGTCAGGGCCAGCAGCACGGTGACCCCCAGGGACACTTTCTCCCCAGAGTCAGCCGGCAGGTAGAAGCCCAGCGGGGCCAGGAAGGAGATCATCATACAGGGGATAAGCAGGTTGAAGATGTAGAAGGAGGCCCTGCGTTTCAGGTGCAGGGTGTAGGTGATGTCTGGGTAGGGGTCTGAGCAGCAGCCATACAGGACCACGTTCTTCTTGGCTGGCATACCTAGAACCTGTTATTAGGATAGAATGGAATAGAAATGTGTGGCCTGGGGTGGTCTGGCAGTCTAAGAACACACGTACACTATAAATACAAAAGTATGTGGACACCCCTTCAAATTAGTGGATTCAGCTATTTCAGCAACACCCATTGCTGACAGGTGTATAAAATCGAGCACACGGCCATGCAATCGCCATAGACAAACATTGGCAGTAGAATGGCCTTACTGAATAGCTCAGTGACTTTCAACGTGGCACAGTCATAGGATGCCACCTTTCCAACAAGTCAGTTTGTAAAATTTCAGCCCTGCCAGAGCTGCCCCAGTCAACTGTAAGTGCTGTTATTGTGAAGTGGAAAGGTCTAGGAGCAACAACGGCTCAGCCGCGAAGTGGTAGGCCACACAAGCTCACAGAACGGGACCGCCGAGTGCTGAAGCGCGTAGTGCGTAAAAAATCATCTGGCCTCAGTTGCAAAACTCACTACCGAGTTTCAAACTGCCTCTGGAAGCAACGTCAGCACAAGAACTGTTCGTCGGGAGCTTCCTGAAATGAGTTTCCATGGCCGAGCAGCCGCACACAAGCCTAAGAACACCATGCGCAATGCCAAGCGTATGCTGGAGTGGTGTAAAGCTCACCGACATTGGACTTTGGAGCAGTGGAAATGCTGAAGTTATGAATCATGCTTCACCATCTGGCAGTCCGACGGATGAATCTGGGTTTGGCGGATGCCAGGAGAACGCTACCTGCCCGAATGCATATTGCCAACTGTAAAGTTCAGTGGAGGAGGAATAATGGTCTGCGGCTGTCTTTCATGGTTCAGGCCCCTTAGTTCCAGTGAAGGGAAATCTTAACACTACAGCATAAAATGACATTCTAGACGATTCTGTGCTTCCAGCTTTGTGGCAACAGTTTGGGGAAGGCCCTTTCCCGTTTCAGCATGGCAATGCCACCGTGCACAAAGCAAGGTCCATACAGAAATGGTTTGTCGAGATCGGTGTGGAAGAACTTGACTGGCCTGCACAGAGCCCTGACCTCAATCCCATCGAACACCTTTGGGATGAATTGCAACACCGACCGTGAGCCAGGCCTAATCGACCAACATCAGTGCCCAACCTCACTAATGCTCTTGTGGCTGAATGGTAGCAAGTCCCCGCAGCAATGTTCCAACATCTAGTGGAAAGCCTTCCCAGAAGAGTGGAGGCTGTTATAGCAACAAAGGGAGGACCAACTCCATATTAATGCCCATGATTTTGGAATGAGATGCTCGACGAGCAGGTGTCCACATGCTTTTGGTCATGTAGTGTACTATGAACCTCTGCCAGCATGGGTTCAAATCCGACCCACTGCTCCTCGTTTCTCTCTATCCTATCCAATAAACATATACTGAATATAAATATAAACACAACATGTTGGAGGCAGCTTATGATAGAGAAATTAACATTCAATTCTCTGGCAACAGCTCTGGTGGACATTGCTGCAGTCAGCATGGCAATTGCATGCTCCCGCAAAACTTGAGACATCTGTGGCATTGTGTTGTGTAACAAAACTGCACATTTTAGAGTGCCATTTTATTGACCCCAGCACAAGGTGCACCTGTGTAATGATCATGCTGTTTAATCAGCTTATTGATATGCCACACCTGTCAGGTGGATGGATTATCTTGGCAAAGAAGAAATGCTCACTAACAGGGATGTAAACAAATTTGTGCACAAAATTAAGCATAATTTGTGCAGAGAAATAAGCTTTTTGTGAGTATGGAAAATGTCTGGGATCTTTTATTTCAGCTCATGAAACATGGGACCAACACTTTACATGTTGCATTTATATTTTTGTTCAGTGTAAAAAAAAAACAAGATAAGACAGTCTTATAAATGTGTTTTCAATCAATAAAGTGCAAAAAGGGAATAAAGATCAGGCTTTGCCGTATAAATAGCACCAAAAGCACTGCTATAAATAAAGGATAGAAAAATTGCAAAATAAACTAATCAATCTGACCTCCCACTCCACGTTGGCCACAAAGTCGGCCAGGTCAGCGCTGTCCAGGGCGTTGACCAGGTCCATCTGGTTGCCGTTGTGTGTCCAGGAGCCGAAGGTTAGGCGACACTGCTGGGCATCAAACGGGAAGAAGGACACGTCCACGGAGCACGAGCTCTTAGTGATGGCCGGCTGGTCCCACATGATCTGTCCGTCGTTACGGATCACCACGTTGGTCTCCATAGAGCTGGAGAACTGGTCATCAGCACTGAGAGGGGTGCGAAGGAGAAGGAGGAGTAGGGAGATAGGAAAGAGGGGGGAGTGTATGGGGGACAAGAAGCACAGGGATGGTGGGAGGAGGGGAGGCGGAGGGAGAGAGAGAGGGAGAAGAGGCAGGGGAAAGAGTGTGTGAGGAATTCATTGGCGAACAAAGGCGGCAATTAAAACCATAGAAAATGATTTCTTATCTACAATTGATATGAAAGAAAAAGAGAAAAGATATACTTACTGTCAAGTGACTAAAGACTCTTTAGAGGTGTGACTGGGAAAAGACAGACGGTGGAAATGTAGGGAAGGAAGATAGGCATGGAGCGTCTAATACCCTAATGACAGACAGACAGACACAGTTAAAGACAGATGGAGTGGTTAAAGAGGCAGATGAGAGGGTTAACAACAGTTAAGGACAGGAAACCTGAATGACTCAGAGAGATAAAGGATGTCATGATGGTCAGGTAGGATGATTGAAAGGTGATTGTCGAGGCACAAAGAGAGTGGGGAGGGCAGGAGTGGAGCCCTCCTCTCAGAGCCAACTCCTACACTCAGCACTCTCACTACATTTCTGACCTTGATCACAGGGACTGGACTGAACATAGAACTTTAATAGTCACCACCCTCAAAGTTGGAATTTTCTCAGAAACCATATTTTAGGAACTGAATCTGCATTCTGTGGCATCCCCCTGATACCAACCATCCTCCAACAGGGATTAAATATTTAAACAGGTAGAGTGTTAGCTCAGGTAGGGGATTAATGTGAGTCTCATGTAACACACAACCCTCACACCTGTCCAGGTATAATCTCTGGAAAATGATATAGAAAAGGTTCAAGTCCATCCTAAAGGGATTACTGATTCAGTTGTGTGTTGTAATTACAACAAAGAGAGATTAAAACATAACAAAATAAATGGAGAATAAGATACTGTGAAAGAATAAATAGAAGGATTATTCCGCTTATACAGTGTTTACCAATGCAAAACCATGTGCACAGCAGTACGTCTAGAACCATGTCCTGGTTTTGGCAAGAACAACTAATTTAGTATCCAAAAACAAGTGTAAAAACCGCATACTAGAAAAGACAGGCGACCAACCTTGTCTTTAGTTCTATTTACTTTTCATTTCAGGTTGACATTGCCATAAATTATAACTAGTGCCAGGAAACCGTCCTGTCTACGTAACCTATCCAGGAAGAACCCCTGACACTAGTAAAAAAAACTACTGCTCCAATACACTGTGATGAGCATCAGAAGCACACCTGTTGCCTGGACACCCCCTGAGTAACGGAATCTAGTGTCCAGCTTGTGTCCATGGCAACATTACAGAAATTCAATGATGAGGGTGAGAAAGAGGAGGGTGAGGAAGAGGAGGGTGAGGAAAAGGAGTGTGAGGAAGAGGACAACAAACCCGTGCAGGAAGAACCGATGTGTCTCAATACCAGCCAGACCTACTTGTTATATAGGACAATATCAGGCCTCCATACATAACTACTAGGTATACGGATGGTATCGAGACCATCGTAGTCGTCCTTCTTCCAGGTAAGGTAGGCGTCCGTCCACACCATCCGGATCCACAGGTACGTGGTCAGGATCTGGTTACGCTCATCCTGCAGGGAAAACAGTATCAGAGGAGGCCTATACAGAGTATAAGTAGTGCATGTGGGGTCATCGTGGTGACCTTGTGTATGTATGTATTTGTGTGTGTGTATTTACCATGTCGATAATCTGTGAGAGGGTGATCTGCAGTGTGACGTTGATGATGTGGTCTGTGTCCTCCACCGGTCTCAGAGCGTTGGTGTAGTTAGCGAACAAATCAGTCAACAACTTCTGAGCATACCTCCCATGAGCACCCAGACACACTGTCAGAGAAAGAGAGAGAGAGAGAGAGAGAGAGAGAGAGAGAGAGAGAGTTGGACACACAGTAAGTAAAAGCCTAGCAGAATTTAAGGAACCACATTAAATCCACATCACTCACAACCTTCATTATTATTCAAATTAAAGTCTCAGTTCCTCAAAAGAATGGGGGAAATTGACTCAACAGCATCCCAAGCTTGATTAACCTAAGAGGCACCTTGTAATCCACTAAATGATGTCCAGTCAGTCTGGTCCTCCATGCATGACTCACAACAGCCATTACATTTGATAATGTTACAGTAACTTTTGGTTAGACCTCTTCCTATACTTAACAACACATTTTCCATACACTCAAAAAGCTTATTTCTCTCAAATTTTGTGCACAAATTTGTTTACATCCCTGTTAGTGAGCATTTCTCCTTTGCCAGGATAATCCATCCACCTGACAGGTGTGGCATAAGCTGATTAAACAGCATGATCATTACACAGGTGCACCTTGTGCTGGGGTCAATTTAAGGCCACTCTTAAATGTGCAGTTTTGTCACACAACACAATGCCACAGATGTCTCAAATTTGAGGGAGTGTGCAATTGGCATGCTGACTGCAGGAATGTCCACCAGAGCTGTTGCCAGATAATTGAATGTTCACTTCTCTAACATAAGCCGCCTCCAACGTCGTTTTAGAGAATTTGGCAGTACATCCAACCGGCCTCACAACCGCAGACCACGTGTAACCACGCCAGCCCAGCACTTCCACATCCGGCTTCTTCACCTGTGGGATCGTTTGAGACCAGCCACCCGGACAGCTGATGAAACTGTGGGTTTGCACAACCAAAGAATTTCTGCACAGACTATCAGAAACCATCTCAGGGAAGCTCATCTGCGTGCTCGTCGTCTTCACCAGGGTCTTGACCTGACTGCGGCGTAACCAACTTCAGTGGGCAAATGCTCACCTTCGATGGCCAGCTCACCTTCGATGGCCACTGGTACGCTGGAGAAGTGTGCTCTTCACAGATGAATCCCGGTTTCAACTGTACTGGGCAGATAGCAGACAGCGTAGCGTGTATGGTGTCGTGTGGGCGAGCAGTTTGCTGATGTCAACGTTGTGAATAGAGTGCCCCATGGTGGCGGTGGGGTTATGGTATGGGCAGGCATAAGCTACAGACAACGAACACAATTGCATTTTATCGATGGCAATTTGAATGCACAGAGATACCGTGACGAGATCCTGAGGCCCATTGTCGTGCCATTCATCCGCCGCCATCACCTCATGTTTCAGCATGATAATGCACAGCCCCATGTCACAAGGATCTGTACACAATTCATGGAAGCTGAAAATGTCCCAGTTCTTCCAAGGCCTACATACTCATCAGACATGTCACCCATTGAGCATGTTTTGGATGCTCTGGTTCGACGTGTACGAAAGCATTTTCCAGTTACTGCCAATATCCAGCAACTTCGCACAGCCATTAAAGAGGAGTGGGACAACATTCCACAGGCCACAATCATCAGTCTGATCATCTCTATGTGAAGGAGATGGGTTGCGGCAAATGTCGTGTTGAGGCAAATGGTGGTCACACCACATACTGACAGGTTTTCTGATCCAATTCTGTGGGAATTTCAGTACATCAGCATAATGTTTCCTACAGGTTTCTTTAATGGTTTTATTTGAAGTCATGTTCTCAAATTGTTCAGAGAACGGTAAGAAAACATTCCATAAGAACACTTTAGTAACGTTCAGAGAACATTCTAAGAATAGCGTGTTCAGGTGTGTTGGCCTCCCACACTAATTGGCCACGCCTGATCTTAATGAGTGCTTGTTTCCTTTGAGATGGGGTCTGTTTGAACAGACTAAAATGAACAGCTTTGTATGAGTAAAAAAACATGTTGTGTTTACATTTTAGTCATTTAGCAGATGCTCTTATCCAGAGCGACTTATAGTTAGTGAATACATTTTTTTCTTTCATACTGGTCCCCTGTGGGAATCGAACCCACAACCCTGGCGTTGCAAACACCATGCTCTATCAACTGAGCTACATCCCTGCCGGCCATTCCCTCCCCTACCCTGGACAACTGTGCGCTGCCCATGAGTCTCCCGGTCACGGCCGGCTGCGACAGAGCCTGGATTCAAACCAGGATCTCTAGTGGCACAGCTAGCACTGCGATGCAGTGCCTTAGACCACTGCGCCACTCAGGAGACTGAGGCAAATGGTGGTCACACCACATACTGACTGGTTTTCTAATCCACGCCCCTACGCCCCTACCTTTTTTAAAGGTATCTGTGACCAACAGATGCATATCTGTATTCCCAGTCATGTGAAATCCATAGATTAGGGCCTAATGAATTTATTTCAATTGACCGATTTCCTTATATGAACTGTAACTCAGTAAAATCTTTTAAATTGTTGCATGTTGCGTTTATTATTTTGTTCAGTGTATATGTAAGATTGTTTAGGCTCTCTGCCTAGAGGTCTTGCCCTTTTGTGCGCTTGCCCTTTAACTGCAGGGTCATTAATTCATTGATGGAAGTGGTGGGATAATCCTGCAGTCTCTCAAGCCTTTGTTGGAAGAGTTGCTGTTGGGGTTTGGGACAGCTTCTTGAGGCCCGTTATATTTGGAATTGGTTTGGCAACAAACAATACAATTGCACCCTCATGTGAATTTGAATTTAATTAGAAATTCAATTTGACAGAGAGAGAGAGAGAGAGAGAGAGAGAGAGAGAGAGAGAGAGAGAGGATGAGAGAGAGAGTATTGAGGGAGATGGATGGAGACAGAGAAAGTGGGAATATTGGAATGATAAACATGGAGTAGTAAATTAGGAGTGAAAAGGACAAGAAGATTAGGGGTGACTTTAGGGTAAGGGGAGGAAAGACAGAGAGAAAGGGGTGGAGGGAAGGAGGTCATTACTGAACGCTCTGGAGAGGGGAGGAGAGGGGGAGGGATGGATGGAGATAAGCAGGTAGGTAATTACAAACAGTAAATGAGAGTGTGTCCATCTAGAGCTGCTAAATGCCTGTCCATTCACTTCCTACTGCAGACAGCACAGTGCATCACAGCCACGCCCTGTGGCACTACACCATTGCAAAATGTTATCGACACACTCATTGCCTCTACACAAAGGGAAACCCAGCCAAGATCTGCCCAGTGACATGAGCCTACCAGACGAGCTAAATGCCTTCTATGCTCGCTTCGAAGCAAGCAACACTGAACAATGCGTGAGAGCACCAGCTGTGTGATCAAACTCTCCGTTGCCGATGTGAGTAAGACCTTTAAACAGGTTAACATTCACAAGGCCGCAGGGCCAGACGGATTACCAGGACGTGTCCTCAGAGCATGCGCTGACCAGCTGGCAAGTGTCTTCACTGACATTTTCAACCTCTCTCTGACCAAGTCTGTAATACCTACATGTTTCAAGCAAACCACCATAGTCCCTGTGCCTAAGAACAAGGTAACCTGTCTAAATGACTACCGCCCCATAGCACTCACATTTGTAGCCATGAAATGCCTTGAAGGGATGGTCATGGCTCACATCAACACCATCACCCCAGAAACCCTGGACCCACTCCAGACCCTGGGACTGAACCTCTCCCTCTGCAACTGGATCCTGGACTTCCTGACGGGCCGCCCCCAGGTGGTGAGGGTAGGCAACAACACATCCGCCACGATGACCTTCAACATGGGGGCCCCTCAGGGGTGCATGCTCAGTCCCCTCCTGTACTCCCTGTTCACCCACGACTGAGTGGCCGCGCACGACTCCAACGCCATCATTACGTTTGCCGACGACACAACAGTGGTAGGCCTGTTCACCGACAACGATGAGATAGCCTATAGGGAGGAGATCAGAGACTTGGCAGTGTGGTGCCTGGACAACAACCTCTCCCTCAACATGGGCAAGACAAAGGAGCTTATCGTGGACTACAGGAAACGGTAGTTTCAGAAGCCCGGACCTCATTTACTCTGGCTCATCACTATCTGGCCATAATGGACAGAATTAACAAGCTTTCTAACCACAAATCATTTTTTATATCACTAACTTTAAACCTTACCCCTAACCTTAAACCTTACCCTAATCATAGCAGGTAACATAGCAGGTACATGACCAAAAGTATGTGGACACCTGCTCAACGAACATCTCATTCCAAAATAATGGCCATTAATATGGAGTTGGTCCCCCCTTTGCTGCTATAACAGCCTCAACTCTTCTGGGAAGGCTTTCCACTAGATGTTGGAACATTGCTGCGGGTACTTGCTTACTTTCAGCCACAAGAGCATTAGTGAGGTCGGACACTGATGTTGGGCGATTAGGCCTGGCTCGCAGTCGGCATTCCAATACATCCCAAAGGTGTTCGATGGGGTTGAGGTTAGGGCTCTGTGCAGGCCAGTCAAATTCTTCCACACCGATTTCGAAAAACCATTGCTGTAAGGACCTCGCTTTGTACACGGCATTGTCATGCTGAAACAGGAAAGGGCCTTCCCCGAACTGTTGCCACAAAGTTGGAAGCACAGAATGGTCTAGAATGTCATTGTATGCTGTAGCGTTAAGATTTCCCTTCACTGGAACTAAGGGACCTAGCCCGAACAATGAAAAACAGCCCCAGACCATTATTCCTCCTCCAAACTTTACAGATGGCACTATGCATTGGGGTAGGTAGTGTTCACTTGGCATTGCGCATGGTGATCTTAGGCTTGTGTTCGGCTGCTCGGCCATGGAAACCCGACAAAAAGTTATTGTGCTGACGTTGTTTCCAGTGGCAGTTTGGAACTCGGTAGTGAGTGTTGCAACTGAGGACAGACCATTTTTTACTAGCTACACGCTTCAGCACTTGGCGGTCCCGTTCTGTGAGCTTGTGTTGCTCTTAGACGTTTCCACTTCACAATAACAACACTTACTGTTGACCGGGGCAGCTCTAGCAGTGCAGAAATTTGATGAACTGACTTGTTGGAAAGGTGGCATCCTATGACTGTGCCACGTTGAAAGTCACTGAGCTCTTCAGTACGGGCCA